TGTCTTGGGTAGCGGTACCCGACGCTTGACGGCTGGTTGGCGTGGTTAGGGGGAGGTAGGAGGTGGTGGTTAAGGGAACTGAACGTGGTTGGGGGTGTGGTAGTTTATGGATATCTAGGTGAAGCTCCATGGGCAAGAACTGGACACCAAGATAGAGGAGGGGAACAAGAATGCTAGTCAGGAGTTCGAGGCAAGAAACGGTGACAGTGGTTGAAGGGTGATGGGTGATAGGTGCCCAAATGCAGACTTGGAGGCAGGGATTAGGGACAGAATAAAGAAGCGGAACAAAGGTACTAGTCAGGAGTTCCAGGCAAGAACTGAAGACAGCAGTAGAAAAAAAAATAAAATATTAAATTAGAAAGCTAACGATTGAATAGATGCAAAGCTAAACATAAGAAAGCGGAAATTGTTCTGTGGAAACCCACGATCAGTAAGGGGTTCCCCTATTCATGAAATACATGTTTAGGTGAAGCTGAGAATGAAAAAGCTCGATAAGATTTACGCAAAAATTCCATCGGCAACAAGAAAGGGAATGAGTTTCCTAATTTATGACGATCAGTTTTAAATTAATGGACCGAAACGTCTTATCTCGCTCTCACCTTCCTTAATCTACACTATACTTTCTCCTAACTCCTTCAGATCTTGCCATCTGCACTTCCTGGGTCAATTTGGATGCTGCAATCTACATAATCAAGCTGAGGGAAAGTGCCTACTGGACCAGTAAAATGAGGATTTTTTACGAATGCTAAGGGCAGTAACGTAGAATATAAACACAGCAAAAAAGATAGGTATATTATATGTATGGAGATGAAGTCAGCCTTTGCTTCTGTGAGATTTTGAATTTACGAGAATTTTTTTCTGGATTATTTGTGACAACTTACAGGTCAATAAATCCCAAAGGAATAAAGAATGAAGGTAAAAACTGAAAATGCTACAAATAACAAATGCAAGAAAGATGAATGTCCCACCTCGGTCAACCAAGTGAATATCTCATTTACTGGTAGTTGCACTTGCTTCGGCACTGAAACCGCATCACAATGGTCCAAATTTTTATCATTTTCTGAAACCGGACCATCGCCGGTACCAATTTTTATCGTGAAAAGCGGCGAATCCCAACGATTCGTTGCCTGTGGTTCCTCAAAACGCGCTATCAGTTCTGATATCACATTTTTCTCATACCTGCAAGATTCCTCGTATTTATTTTACTAAAAGAAGCAACCACACACACACACAGACACACACACAAGCACACACTCACATACATACACACACAACTGAAAGTAGTCCAAGTATTAGTATATGCCAACAGCAATCAGC